TATATATATATATATATATATATTTTTTTTTTCACTCATGAAGGATTCGGTGAATGTGCATATTAACTGGTTGTGTTTGGTACCTCTAAAAAGGTTAAGAACCACTGATTTTAGACCTAAAGTATACTTAGTCTTCCTGTATATAAGCTCGAAGTATATGAGGTAAATATTGTGAATATAAAACGTACCTGCCGGCTAGTTCCCTCTGGTTGGTGCCGGTTGCCAGGAAGGTCAAGGTGGACAACACCTGTGGTAGCAGCGGGATGACGTGGGGCCGTTGTGTGGACTGCTGTAGTGCTGGATCCAATTCTGCACATGGATCCAAGATTATGGCTTTAGGGAATGGAAATTTGATTCTTAGCCAGTCATCATCATGGGCCAGGAAGTCCAATAATAAATGCCAATACATAAAGGTATATATTTTAATACAGTAAGTATTCCCACCTACGGACTTCTTTCAAACGGAAATTCCCTCACTGGAATAAAAACCGATGCATAAAAATTCCCACTACGATTTTACATTAGTGATCGATTCGTAACAACGGAAGTTCCGGTACCCGTACCACGCAAGCCACACGGAAGCCAGCAGTAGCGCAAACTCAAGCATGTCCCGCTAGATACTATGGAATGAATAACAGTGCCCTCGCTGCTATTTACTCTCATTGGATCCAAAGTGGCAACATGTAAGTGACTCTATTGGCATGACTTTTACTGGAATCACGAACGATGTTTTATTTCATTCATTTACATTTACGGCCTGTAGATCGTGGCATCCAAACGAAGAGGAACGGTAATGACCGTGGAAGGGAGAGTTGAATGCATCCGATTAGCTGCTCAGAGTAAATTGCTTGTGGCTCGACAGACAGTCGAGTAAACGAGCAAATAGTCCTAATTTTGTGAAGTGTCGTGTTATACTGTATTTTGTTTATATAGCTGTACTGTATGCTGCAGTTTTTGTCTTATAACTGTTTTTGGACCATATCTTTTTGCATTTTATTGCTTGTGTTGTTAAACATGTATTTTGTTAACATATTTGCATGTTCATAAAGGACATTTCAACTCAACTGTATTTATCGAGCACTTTAAAACAGCCATCGCTGCACACAAAGTGCTGTACATGGAGCAACTAACATATACAACAGTAAAGCAAACCAACAAATCAGTATCAAAGACTGTAGAGAGCAACAAACAGTATAACTAAGATCATAATTTGGGTCATCCTGAGTCAAATGCCAAAGAATACAAGTGAGTTTTGAGGCGGGTTTTAAAGATGGGCAGCGAGGAGGGTTGCCAAATGTTCAGTGGGAGGTCATTCCAGAGAGAGGCACCAGCAACGGAAAAGACTCGATCCCCTCTGAGCCTCAGTTTAGTTCTTGGTCCTTCTAATAATGTTTGGTCCTCAGACCTGAGGTGCCGGGCAGGTGTGTAGGGGCAGATGAGCTCAGACAGATAAGGTGGCGCAAGGTCATTTAGAGATTTGAAAACAAATGCTAGGATCTTGAAAACAACTCTAAAATGTATAGGGAACCAATGAAGGGATGCCAGAGTCGGAGTTATGTGCTCCCTCTTACGAGTGCCAGTCAAGAGGCGAGCGGCGGCATTCTGGACCAGCTGGAGGCGCTTAATGGAGGACTGGTTGACTCCAAAGTAAAGTAAAACATGTGCCATAGTTGGTTCTCACATAAAGAAATTGTTATAAGGAAAGATTGGACAATGCAAATATGATTCCTTACTAGACAATACTTACCTGTATGTCAAAAATATATTATATACTTGTGTGTGTGTGTATATCATTTATATGAACAATATTTTTTAATATTGAGTGAAACCGAATGTGTTGAGGCACGATCATATGTGATTTCAACTAACCACCCCACCAACTGTGTGTCCCAAATGTGCGTACGGATGGGTTAAAGCTGCCGTGCCCGAGTACACTATTTTTTTTGATGGGTAAGGCACTGTATGGAGGAAGCCGCATACGCATTTTTCAGGCCCTTATGTGTGCACGTAGAATTTATAAATCCAGCCGCTGTACATTTGCACACTTTTGTCAGGTTTTTTTTTTGCGGTCGGGGGGGGGGGGAATCACATACTTCGCGCAGGTAGTTGCACATGCATCTTTCAAGCCCTGTTTTATCGTACGTATTGGATTACACAAAGATGTCTAATGCAGAATCTGATTTGATCATTTCTGTTCATTAGTTGTATTTTACAGAGGAAGAATTGTATTCAAGGATCAAAGAAAGCCATTAGAACAGTTTATGTACTGTATATCCACAATATTTGTCATAAGGTTGTATGTGATGTGTTCTGTTATTTTAAAATGTTCTGTAAAGTCAATGTTTAATGGTGTTTTATTTTAACTGTTCTAGAAATCCTTTTTACAATTGCAGCTGTTGTGAAAGCGCTGCATCAACGACATAATTCACACCCGATATGCATGGGGGGAATCTCCCAAAACGCTAATAAACTCAACGTATGAAAAACCGGGTAAATGGGAGGATCTCTGAAACCTCCCAAAATTAAATGCAAAATATTGAATCCACAAACAGGTGTTGAAGTATACGTGGGGGTCGACTGAAGGAATTTAAGTTATAAAAAATACCAACCAAGTTTGCGAACAGTTAAACTGTGCCTAGGCCTCATGGGTCACCATCGTAGCGGTTTTGATGTCTCCCTCCAACAAACCCAACTCAAATGAGCTCAGCAAATTTAAGCAGAAGCCTGCAATCTTGATCATTTGAATTGAGCAAATTCTGAGAAAAATTGGATTGATACAAAATACAAGGGTTGTGATCCTTTAAGATTCAAAGTAAAGATTTTCATTGAAGGAAATACATTTTGCATCAAAGCCAATTAAGGAAAAATGAAGCAAACTCAAATGAGCTCAGCAAATTTAAGCAGAAGCCTGCAATCTTGATCATTTGAATTGAGCAAATTCTGAGAAAAATTGGATTGATACAAAATACAAGGGTTGTGATCCTTTAAGATTCAAAGTAAAGATTTTCATTGAAGGAAATACATTTTGCATCAAAGCCAAGCAAATTAAGGAAAAATGAAGCTTTTTTTGCACCACAGGCAAATGGCAGGTCAATTTATTTGATTTGAAAGAGTGATTACATCATTTTAGTGGAAAGGGACAAATGCTGTGGATGGACGGCTCAGAATTTTTCAGCTGTTCCTTGCACGTGCAAGCTTCCGCACTCTGGTGGAACAGCGGCATGCAAACAGGCTCCGGCTCGCCAGCTGGGATTGTCTCTGAATTCTGTGGAGGCCCAGGAGGAACAATGGGGTGCTCTGCCGCACAAATAGATTTGGCAGTTTTGCTGTCGACTTACCTTTGGAGGGTAGATTTCACACTCAAGTTCTCCCACTTGTCTGTGAGCGTTGTAATAGGCGGTTTGGCAGTAGGCGTGATTCTTCCAGAGAAGAGAGAGGAAAGAATTCAATGCTTTGGAGCTTTTAACAAATTATCAACCGGGTAATGAATCAGTTGTCAGAAACCCGTCAAGCATGTTCAAGAAACTCGAGGCAAAACCTGTATGCACCCCTAGTATCTAGACTGATCTAGTCAAGAAGCAACTCACAGCTCGGTCAGGGCAGAGAGGCGTGCAGGCCGCAAAAGTATGCGTGGCCTCTCGGGGGCATGTGGTCTCCACTAGGGCAAACTTGAGCGAGGTGATGGTTCCGATGGTCATGATGTGCTGCAACCGCAAAGACATTAAGGCGTTTAAAGAGGAAGCTTGACACAATGTGGAAGAGAACGAAGTCATCACCTCCTCAGTTAGCTGAGCCACTTCGAGCAGGGTGAAGTAATGGTGGTGGTTCATCTGCTGATTGAACCTGACCACCGCCTCTTGCACGGCGCTGACACCAGTCTTGTCATTGAGGGACAACAACTTGGGGCAGGAAGGACAAAGGGTCATCATCTCATCTTTGGTGTGGTCTGGTCCCAGAAAAGAGCACATGTTCACTATCACGGATTGACTTTAAACTCGACAGCTCACGAGCCAAGCAAGCAAAAGGCATGTTTTTTAAAATAATGTGACCAGTAAGAAACATGGCCCTAAACCAAGTTACCATTCTCTTAAAATGGAAAACTATCATTTGAGTTAAGTACATTTGCCATCAGATTCATTTGAGTTTCAAATTGAACATTGAGCTTCCATTTCAACAATCCCAGTCACACAACCTTAGGCTGAACATGAGGGCTGGTTTCAAATCCTGAGGACTGGCAACAAGCCAGATTCCCATACATGTCAGAATGGAGAGGGGGGGGGGGGGGGAGTAGGACAAGGTGTGTCTGCAGTTCTTGACCTGGTCTGGTGGAGCATTCGTATCGGGTGATTTTGGCCGCACCCCACATGACCCAAAACTTAACACTGCAGGTGGCCATTGCGCCCTAAGTGACAATAACTCAGTTAGCACATCACCAACAGACAGAGCCATCATCTCGCAGGACTGAAGGAATATTCACCCGTTCGTTCCTTTGCCACAGCTCGCATTGGTCCACAGGTTTGGGGTTGGTAAAGTGACATTTGGTCTGCAGCAGCTTCACATTCACATCAATGTGGCAACCTCCAGAAAACTGCAAGGAGACATAAGGGTAACCGACTTAAATGGTTACGACAGCCATCATTCAAGAGCGCGAGCTATAGAAGTGATAAAAAGCACTAACCTGTTGGTAATTGCTTCTTTGGACCTCATGCAGGCTGAACTTGTAGCCATGCTTGTGATGTCGGTTGATGTGCTGGACAGACATGTTGGCCGCCACCGTCACACTGTCCTCACGGCATGTCACAGAAAGCAAAGGTTTAGGTGCCACCAAACCAGGAAGAGCCAAAACACAACAAAGGAGCACAGAAGTCAATATATGAGCCGCCATCATGTCCAGCGTTGAGGAACGACGCCCAGGAAACATCACACCAACACTCGCACATGCACTTTAAGCAGGCTGAGGAGCTCCAACAACCAATCGCAGAGGACGACAAACACCTGACACCTGGCTGCTAATTAGCACTGGGCCTGCTTTCAATCAGTCACCAGTGCAACGCCTCATACGTCTCAGTTGAGGAAAAGTGAATTGGGCTCCAATTTTGAAAAAGAACCTTTTTTTTTTTGGAGTAAAAACTTTTTTTGAGACAGAACAGGTAAACTTTTATCATTTTAGGACTAACCATTTGGCAAGTTCAGTGGGTTCCTGTGCTTTGCAGGGATAGCGAACCAGCCCAACAGAAAATAGCCAAAAACTGAAAAGAACCCATGCTCCCTGATAAGGGTAAAAACATTTCCATCCATCCATCCATCCATTTTCTTAACTGTTTTATCCTCACAAGGGTGGCAGGGTGTGCTGGAGGCGCACACCCTGAACCGGTTGCCAGCCAATCGCAGTGCACACAGAGACAAGCAACCACCTGCGCTCACACTCACACCAAGGGACAATTTCGAGTGTTCAATCAGCCTGCCATGCATGTTTTTGGAATGTGGGAGGAAACCGGAATACCTGGTGAAAACCCACACAGGCCCGGGGAGAACATGCAAACTCCACAGAGAAAGGCCGGATTGTGTCATCATGCGCGCTGTCATCATGACGTGTCTGATCCACTGGCGAAAGGAGACTTGGATGCCCTCCTCTTTCATCCAGAACCACTTTTAACAATACAGTATATGCACGCATATACACAGTAGAACCCCAAGGCATGAAAGATCCTCTTGACAAACTTTTCAAGTTGCACACAAAGTTTTTGTAGAATAGCTGCCTCTAATTTCATTATCTTGTGCATCTCGTGCTCTTTCACCATCATTGGCTAAGTGTGTAATTTATTGGGGCAGTTGTGCATTTTTTTTTACTCCTCAGAATTCCTTAAAGTTTATTATTGGCTGAAAATACACTAAAAAGCCCATATAAAACTCAATGTCTGCTCTACGACACCCACTTGATAGAAAGCTGTTGTATGTGTGGCCGTAAATTCTGCTTACACACGCGCTTCGTCCAATCACAATTACAACAGCGGCCGCCCCTGAAAGCGTACTAACCCATCATTTATGGAGTGTGTGATTTCTTCATAATGAGGTATATTTTCAATTATTTTTGTATTGTCGTTTTTTTTCTCTTTTCAACCACACTCGGATTAAGAGGAAAAGACACACACACACACACACACACACACACACACTCACACACACACACACACACACACACACACATATACCTGTATATATATGTATATAAATTTTTCGGAATGCCCCCAAAACATCCTATGCAGAAAACACTTATAACAACCAACAATGCTGCCGTATGGCATGTAAGCATGATGTCCCCTTCACGTTTCTGCCTGCTCCCTCATGTATGCCTGCTTAGCCTCTGAAACTGTCTCACAAAAAGCAGCTCAAGTGATACTCATGACTGTGATCCAATCCAGAAAGGCCTCTATTTTTTCCTTGAGTATCATTAGCTTTTACCAGGATGGTTCCTCTCTGAGGCATCAAAGCAAATAGGAACTGTCAGTTGTGGCAACTGACAGTTCCTATTTGCTGGTTCGTGTAGTATAAACATCATCAGACAGCCCAATTTCACTGGATCTTAACGAAAAGCTTATGATCAAACATGGATCCCATTTATAGAAGCCCATGCTGAGAATTCATCTCTTTGGAACTTCACTCAGTAAATGTTCCATATATCTTGTACCCAGTGGCTATGGCTGACTACCCAACTCACATAATCTTTTTCTTTTTTAAATAAAACTGCTTGGACCGCCCCCTCCATGCATTCCCTCCCTTTCCTCTCTCTTGCACCTGCTGCTGTGAACAGCGGGGGCCCAGTGTGTGTTTCTGTTCATCCCTTGCTTTTTTTTCCTCTTGCTCTCACCACTTCATTGCTCTCTGCCTTTCTTTCATGTGTGCTCTGCTGTCAAGCCCAGCTGGATCAGGCCTGTCAGTGTAGACACACACACATTCCTTGTTAGTTTGAAACAAGCAGTTTGAAAGCAGTAATCGAGTTGTTTTTGTGAGTGACCTTTTCCTCTAAGTCAAATTTACATTATATGTTCCCCGCCCCCCCTCAAAATAGTTATACTGTACATTTCTCTTAAAATCTCATTTCATTGTTTCCCCCCCCCCCCCACCAAAATCAACTCACTCAAAATTGGACTATTATTTGTTTGTTCTGCATTTCAGTTCAAATCAGTAAAAATTAGGCCTACTCGTGTTGTAATTTAGGGCAGTTTCAGACCCAGTGCAAGTGCAAATAAGCAATGTCTGTATTCTACAGTTGTAGTGAATGGTGGCATTACAACTTCCATTAAATGATCCAGTGGATGTCCACCTATTTGTGGGGTATTAGGACCTTGCTGGCCCATGAATAAAAAAAACACATAATAGGCGGCCTGCTGAACTGCAGTGTGATCTCTCTCTTTTTTTTTTTTTTTTTTTTTTTTAGTAAACCCCAAACAAAATTATACAAAAAAAGCTGTGGGTGCCGAACTGCCTGACATAGGAGTGAGGTATATAAATAGTTGCATTGGTGATCAAAAATCAGGAAAATGGGAGCAGGCAGCAGGTTGCCAAGGAGGGTGAGGCCTGGCCAGATCGGTTGTAGAATCATGACACACACGAGACGGCACACCAGTTAAAAGGCAGGAAAAAATATATCTGCAGTTTAAGTTGCTACAGACTTATTTCTGAGGCCTGACTCATTTTAAGGGAAAATGCTCAAAAAAACGACGGCCTGGTGGTCGAGTGGTTAGCGTGTTGACCTCACGGTGCAGAGGTCGTGAATTCGATTCCAGCTCCGGCCTTCGTGTATGGAGTTTGCATGTTCACCCTCCGGGCCTGCTTGGGTTTCCTCCGGGTACTCCGGTTTCCTCCCACATTCCAAAAACATGCATGGCAGGCTGATTGAACACTCCAAATTGTCCCTTGGTGTGAGTGTGAGTGCGGATGGTCGTTCGTCTCTGTGTGCCCTGCGATTCGCTGGCAACCTGTTCAGGATGTCCCCCTGACAACTGCCCGAAGACAGCTGGATGGAGGGTTCCCTTCATGAAATCAATCATCATCGAAAGTATTTTCAAATGACCGACTACACCACCAGTAAAATGTTGACTCACTTCTAGTCCAACCCTGGCCAAACACTATTTTCCAGAGAGTCCAATTTACTTTTGTCTTTGTGTATGATACTTGCAGAGAGAGCCATTTTCTCCGGCTGAAATTTGAGGAAAGCGAATCAGAAAATGGATGGATGGATGGAAGCCCAAAAAAACAACTTTATTGATGCTTCATTTGCAAGTTGCATAAAAAAAAGAATACACTTCAAAGCTATACAACTCACAATCAGCAATCGCTCAATTAACGCTCAAATATTTCTCTCTGAGCTCCAGATGGAACACAATGAAGTTGTTGAGAAGTCTTTGAAAAATTAGACTTTTCCCCTTATCACATCATCTCACTCCAAAACAATTTCTTCCTATTATTCTCACAGCAGGGAGTCCACTGTCCTGTAATGGTGTGCTGTAATGCTTTAAAGGTATGAGCACAGGGAAAAAAAAAAACCCTCTTTATTCTTTGCACCTTGTCGCCCAACTACATTAAACAGAATCAAAGACGCCATTTACATACCATTTGTGTTTCATCTTTGAGAAGTTGAGACAGAAACAGAGCTCATCCTGTGTGAAAGTACGGATGCTTTGACTTTCTGAACTTTTTCGCAACGACGCATGGGAGGGAGGCATGATTGAAAGCTGGAGGAGGAGGAAGGAAGATGAGAGTCAAATTACATCTCAGTCTTTCGATGTAATTTCTTCTTTTGTCATCTTGTCACCATGTCTCCCCCTTATTATCCAACCATACAGAGTATTTGTCATGAATTACTGTAGTGACAAAAGCCTGTGGCAGAGTCTCTTTCACTTTTTTTTAACTGAGTGTTCAACATTGTTATTTTACCTGACAAGGTAACATGACACATTCGCGGTTAACCTAACTAATGATGGGGTAATAATAATGACAACATGCGTTTTATTTGTAAGCTTACCCTACAGGGTGATTGCTTCTGGGTTGTTTATAGTTTTTGAATAACACTCTACATCAAGTACATGACTGGTGAGGCACTATCAGCTGCAGTGAAACTCCTCTACAACGAAATCATGTTTGCAGCAAGACATTTTTCACAACAGGGTACTTTTCACTATAGCAAATTTTATCTCAGATGTAAACGCACGCACACACACACACACGCACACACAAACACACACACACACAC